CCCGGCGAGGCCCCCTCTCCCGCTCCTGCAGCTGTTCCCGGTGGGGCAACGCCGGGGCGCTCCCCTCCCCCCCGCTCCCCTGGCACCAGCCTCCGCCCTACAGGATTATTTATTATTAGCATGTTCTCCCCGTCTCTGCTCCGGGACACGAATTCCAAGCATCCTTCCCCTGCCCGGACCTGCTCTCCCAGCCCCACCGGGGGCTCCGCCGCCTTAGCCCAGCGGCTGTGGCGCCAGGGTTCGGGGCCCATCCAGCACTCAGCAAAGCCCCCACCCTCCGCTTGCGGCCCACGGTGCAGCCCAGCTCCTGGGCCTGGCAGGGCTGTGGGCTGGCAGTGGGGGGCAGCCCTGGGCCCCGCCCTGTTGCTGTTTGCAGGGTGTCTGCCCCCATGGCCAGATGCCCAGGGAGGGACCTGTCTCTGGCTAAAGGCCACCTGCCCTGTGGGCAGGGAGGGCCACGGCGGGGCTGGGGGCAGCAGGGGGCAGCAGGAGAGGGCATCTGGGCCATGAACACCCGGCAGCAGTTGCCCGGCGATCCGCCCCCAGACGGCTGTGGTCAAAGCAGGAGACCCCTTGGCTTCCAGACCCCAACCTGCCTAAGCAGGCTGCCTCTGGCTCTGCTGTGCCCTCTCGTGGCCTCCCGGCAATGCAGCGACTCTGCCAAGGACCTAGGTCTCCTGGTGAGCTCCTGCAGCGTCCGCCAGCCCAGCGCCGGGCCCGTTCCCGAGGCTCAGGGTGGCGCAGCCGGGGACAGGGCTTGGAGAAGGGTGCGGGGAGGCGAGGGCTGGAGAACCTGCCTGAGAGTGAGAGCCGCCTGGCTCTGTCCGGCGAGGGGCCCGGCACAAGCCGAAAGGGGCTTCTCACCAGCGAGACCCAGGGTGAGCAGTAAGTTTTGCAGGGGGGGCACTTAATGAATGGTGGGACTTGGTCCCGGGCCAGCTCCACCCCCCGAAGGGGCAGGGGCCTGGGACCTGCCTCCCCCCAGAGTTGTCTGGGGCTAGAAACTCTGAAGTTAAAACAGCAAAGGGCTCCTGGCTCCGACCAGGAGCCATTTCAATAGGATCCTGCTGCCTGAGCCACCGCCTGGAAATTCGGTGGCCTGGGCAGCAGGATACAAACAGAAAACAGCCAGGTGCAGTCCACGGGCCGGGTCACAGTGTTAGGCGGGCGGGCCGGATCCTGCCCCTGGGCCCCAGCCCTGCTCTAGATGGAGCCAGATGGTGGAGACTATGCCCATCCAGCATGGTGCATGTGCATCGGGCCACTGCATACATTGTGGGGTGCCAGCTAACCCCCCCCACTCCCTGCAGGCCAGCTGCAGGGGGAGCCGTCAGAGCCAGAGCTGGCATTACACACGGGGCACTGGGACATTTAGTGTTCTGAGGCCCGTTGGTGGGGACTTTGCTGTTCCCCAACTATCCCTCCCCCTCTCCACCCCGAGAACTTACTGGCCTCAGAGCAGGCAGGGATGGACACCTCCTGAGAAGCCTGGGAGCTGGCCCCACTGGACGAACGTCTCCACAGCAGGGGGTGCTCCAAACCCGAGCAAGATGCCCCGGGCCCTGCAAGGAGCTGGGTCCTTGGAGGGAGCAGGAGCCCCGGGAAGGTGGGCACCTCGCTGGGCGTGCCAGGCAGTGCCATGCACAGTCCCACACAGGCCTGCATGCACCTGCAGGGATGGGCTGGCTATTGGCTTGCTGAGGTCTGCAGAGGTGACAGCTCCCAGCATGCAATGCTCCATGTTGATCCAGCCAGCCCAGCTGCACTGCATGCTGGGACATGGCGCCTCCACTGCTGCTCAGGGAGCGCAGCTCTGCCTGGTCCAACACCTGATAGAGTCAACAAGAGTCTGTTCATAAAACCCAGGTGACCCAGACTTCTGCAGCAAAGGAGAATCCCCAGAAGCTCTTAGCACTATAGGACTTATGACACACAGTTCCACCAGTAAAGGGCAGTGTCTGGAAAGGCAGGGGCCTGTGTGCTAGTTCCTGGCAGTATGGTCAGTGCAGGTGACAGCTGAGCTGCAGCCAGGGGGCACTAAATTCCCCTGTGGTCCCCACAGGGGTTTCATATCAACTCAGGTCCCACATGTGCTTGGGCACCCTGGAAGGACAGCCAAGCCAGGCAGGGCCAGGGCAGCATGGCATAGTGGGGAGGGGGCGAGCCCCCCTGCAGGGCCTGCCATCTGGTGCAGAACTCTGCCCACCCCACTGCCTATGTGGCACCTGGACTGGGGAGTGGGGGGGGGGGGCAGGGGCAGAGCTGGCTCA